TGTCGGCCACTTGAAAATAATGCTCTCAGGCGCCGTAGCCTAGGTTTCTCACTGCGCGGGAATTCAAATTCTCGTCCCTCGGCGGCACCTTTTGGAATTTTTTTCATTTTCAACGGCGTTTTTCGAGGATTTCGGATTTCTTTTAAATTTTTTTGCAATAATATTAGGAAAATAGATAACTTTTAACACATTTTAATGCAATAAAAATTTTTGGTCGGAGTCCCCCTTTAAGGATGAAGCAGTCTTCCGATTCTCAAATTGGTTCAAGAAATTGGGTGACGAAGATAAGGACAAGGAGGCAGAGGAGAAAGAGAAAGAACTCGCGGAAATTGCCGAAACTAGATTTCTGGAAAACAAGCAAAAATTCCGAAGCTTGCTTATCGAAAGGAAATTCTCCGCAGAAGAATGGACACTCATGAAGCAATTCCTTGACTACCCAGAGCTAGCAGCGATCGTGGTCAAAATGCGTCGATCTCAAGGAGTTCCAGGACTCAGACAAAATAGACGACGCTGCCTTACCTGTGAGGAATCACTGGCAGGGATGCCACTGACCGCACACAAAACAGAGAATTGTTCCATCCCATATGAAAGCCGAATTCTGGTCAGTAAGCGACTGTTTGGACAGAGAAAATGTTACGGATGTGGACGAATGAAGGAGGATGGAAATTGCAATTGTAAGAGTGTGCCATGTCGCAGATGCTGGAGATGGAACGTGCCAGAATCATTTCCACATCTTCAAGTAATGGGAACATGTCAGATGGTGTGGAAAATCAGACAGGAGACCGGACACGTTCCTACTGAACACGAGATCTCGGATTATACAAAGCGAAACGACAAGATAGCTTCAATAATTCAACACAAGTTGGAAAAGTTTGTGGCAGAGACAGAAAGAGAACTTGTGGATGCGGGAAGAGCGAGCAATCAGAAAACGGAGGCCGAATTGTGGTGGTAAGAGACGAAGCGAAGCGCCAGGAAAAATTCGTGGACACTACAGGGTGGCCGATAAGTATAGGACGCTCGCTTTCAGCATTCCCTGGCACGGTGCCAAGGGATATTTTCGAAAAATTTCGAAACTTTTCGAAAGTCCAGAGACTATATAAGTAAGCTTCTCAGTCATTTGTTCTCACTTCTCCATATCGCCGAGCTATGAAAAGTTCTCCTCATCGTCCTTCCATTGAACTCTTGTTCAAGAGAGGCCTCGGAAGTGCTGAGATCGCTCGACGCCTTCAAATTTCGTCTTCGACGGTTCGAAACGTTGTCGCTGCTATCAAAAAGCGAGGAGATGCTTCTGAAGTAAAAAAAAGCGGACGTCCACGTTCTGTCAACACCCGGAATACTCGTGCAATCATCAAGAAACGGATCATTCGAAATGATGGATTGAGTCTCAATAGGATGGCGTCACGGCTTGGAATTGCCCGATCCACTGTCCAATCGATTGTCAAGAACGACTTGAAGCTCAAAAGTTACAAACTACGTCGTGGACAGTACCTCTCGGACAAATCGAAAGCGATGCGACTCGAAAAATGCCGAAAATTACTCCAGCACTTTCAAGTGCGCCGCGTCTCTGACGTTATCTGGACAGACGAGAAGATCTTCACTATTGAACCTCTTCCCAACCGTCAAAACCAGAGACAGTTATTGTCAAAGGATGACAGCATGTCTCCGAAACGTCTTCTTGCCCATAACCGCCTTTTCCCGAAAAGTGTCATGGTTTGGGCCGGTATCACGGCAACCGGTAAAACTCCGTTGGTTTTCATTGAAAGAAATGTGAAAATCAACTCGGAGGTGTACCAAAAGATTGTGTTGATGGATAATTTGTTACCCTGGGTCACTCAGCACTTTGCTGGTGGTCCATTTATCCTTCAACAAGACTGGGCACCGTCCCATGGCTCGAGATCGACATTGGCCGTCTTGGAGGCGCATTTCCCTGGATTCCTGGACAAGAACTTGTGGCCTGCTTCCAGCCCGGATCTCAATCCGATGGATTTCAGCGTTTGGGGCATGTTGGAAGGGAAGATCGCGGGAAAAGTTTTTGCTACTGTCGATGACTTGAAGGCCGCTCTCGAGGTAGCATGGGCTTCGATCGACGACGGATACCTGCGGCGCACTGTCAATTCGGTGAAGAAACGTTTGAGAGCCTGTGTCAAAGCTCGTGGATCCAACTTCGAATTTCTCTTGTAAAATCAAATTTTCTGCTTATTTTTTGTTGTTTAATAAAGGTTGTTCTCGAAAAATCCTCAAATTGAAAAAATGGGAGCACTTTCAAAACGTCCTATACTTATCGGCCACCCTGTAAATTCAATAAATTCATCTCTAATTAAAATTTATAGTAATATTGTTTCG